AGCACTATCAAATTTCTGACCAACTTCACGTATGGAGGTGTGCCACTCAGTTGGGATCTTTGTTTGGTGATTAAGCATGTCTTCCAGCAGCATGATCGAGTCGCCGGTGGGGTTGTCATTAGGAATACGCTCATCATTACAGGTTTGGGTGAACGGGGTATCTGCGCACCGCGAATTTTCTGTCGGTATTGTCCTGAAGTATAAATCAAAATACATAGCCTTAGCAACGAACTGATAACCTTAACAACGAACTCATAAACGTAACAACCTACACATATCCTTAACAACTAACCCTTATACTTAAGGGCAGACTCGTGACCTTAACAACAAACGCATATACTTAACATCAAACACCATAACTTAGCAACCAACTAGTATACGTAACAGCCAACAAATAACTTTAACAACCAGTGCTTAACATAACCTTGACAGCCAACACATTACCAAAGCAACCAATGCATGAGGTTAACAACTAATGGCAAAACCTATCAGTGAACTCAAAAGGAAATCTGGAGTGTAATTCCTACGCAGTTTCCGGCGTAGTCTGCGTGTTCTGCGAAGTTGAGGATTCCGCAGCGGAGGTGGCATACAAATTCGCGTCTGTAAATCCATTACGCCGACAATACTCGAACATCAAATTTAAGTCGTCGTCATTGTCAATTGAAATGCTGAATTTCTTTTCCCTTTCGCATATGAACTTCAGTGAAAGAGATTGCATTGGTATTTTAAGCCTTTCCGCCACTCGATATTTCAAGCTGATTATTTCTGTATTCTCTTTGATAACGACGAATACACCGTCACCACCTTTGTTGCTTTTTGCCTTCGTTACTACGCATAGAAGAGATCCATCCGCCATTTTATTACAGGGAGTGGTTGAAGAATCGAAGAGGCTTTTATTGAGGATAATTAAGTGGAAGGAACAACTTAGCTTGAAGGGGGATATAGCTGGTGATAATATCTGATGATAATTTTGGAGGGAAATGGGAATTTTCCCCCCCAAAAAAGTCATTCATATCACCATTTAATGCCTACAGTCGAAACGATGGGTTTCCGTCGTGAGAGGGCGACGAACACATGCTGCGAAGGGTATTTTGGGCATTTCGAGCGGTGTTTAAACGGAAGGTGGCCTGGGGATTCGTTTTGGGGGCTGGAAGAAAATCGGGGGCGGTTTTGGGGGTAAAAGGCACGTTGAAAAGGTCTTGGGGGGGCAGAGCACGTTCTGTGTTGTTTTGGGGGCTGGAAGCAATTTTCCCTTTATTTTATTTAAAAAAATTCTGGTGTCCTGTATCCTTAGATTTGTGGTAATCATGGATAGAGACTATGGCTCATGTAAAACATCCTAGCACTTTATTATATACATATATTATTCATTAGTTAAGCTTCTACAAGTTAGATGCATTAGTGTAATCGCAACACAGCAATTGCCTATATTACCTACTATAGAAGAATACTATAAGTAACCAAGTACTTGAGGAAAAAAACCTGAACCATATTGACAAAATTTTCTCTCTGAATACAAAAATATGTCTACAGGTAAAGAACACCCTAACCCATTATGATATACGCATACATATCCACTAGCAGTACACTCTGCAAGTAAGAAGTATCAATGTGGTTGCATCGTGTGTCTACATTAGCATATATAGAAGAAAAGTTTAAGTATTCAAAGGGTACTTGAGTGAAAAACTAGAACCATATTGATGAATTTTTTTCTCAATGTACGAAAATATGTCTATATGTATGAATACTTTTTGGCCAGAGTTCCTCATCAAAAGCTACACGGGGTATCCAAGAAAGATAATCAAGTAACGACGTTTCTTAGCCATGTTCACTCCAGTTTTAGCCATTTGGTTTTGGTTTCTGTGAGAATTAGTCGGAAACTGAGCATGCACTTTCAGTTTTACTATGTTATTGACACTTCCAGTAAGCTACTAAGCTTCAGGCAGCTTCCCAAAATGTTGGGTTAATTTTGATTAATTTTGGAAAGCTTCGAACAAAGCCTACTGACACTGTCAATAAACTCAAAAATAGAGGGAGAAGAAAGAAGGGGGAAGGTGGGAGAAGGAAACCTAAAGAAGTGGAAGTTGCCAGCAAGTCAACAAAACCATAATTTGCTAGGTTCTTTGCACGTACAGTCAACTTTTTCTTGTTCCAGAGAACTTTAACTTGATTATTTAAGTTTATGTTAGGTTGGCTACATAGCTTACATGTTTATACACACTAGAACTAGAGGTGGAAATGAACCAAAAAATTAATAAATTGTTCAATTATTATTCGTCTAGATATTCAGTCATATTCAATTCGGTAATTTATTTTAATAATAAAAAATGAATATTTTTTAGTATTCGGCTCTAAATGAATAGAATTTAACTAGAGGCATATTCGATTCAATTGATCAGTAAACATTCGTTTATGTTTACATTTTATTCCTCTAAATTTAATTTATTATAAACTATTTATCCTTTAAAGTTGAACATGAGATATTTATCATGCTGACATATATCATAACAAATATCTATTAGAAATAAATTATTATTCTAATTTTAACTAAGATTATATTCTTAACTAAGATTATATTCTTAATTATTAAGAGGCTAAAACAAGTTTGCTAGAAAAGTAATTCATGTATTTGTGAAATCTATAATGCGATATTTTCCTACTTCTACATTACTACATTATACTAACTTTTTATGTTATATAGTATTATAAATATTACTATTAACAAATATATAAATTAATAATTTATAAATATATTAATTTAATAATTTTAGTAGAGAAATGCCATAATAACCATTAAGTAGTTAAGCAATATGTAAAAAGAAAATAAAACAAGAAAAATTTCCAATAAGAGTGATTCTCGCAATAGCAGCGAGCGAAATGGGAGCAGCTTAAACCGTGAAAAAGCAGCTTAAACCGTGAAAACAGGGTTGTGGGAGAGCAATACAAGCGTCGTGCAGCACGTTGGACATGCTTCAAGAACTCATTAAGCAAATTATTATAACTACATATTTTCATAACAGACAATTCCTGGAAGTAAGACTTTCAAACTCATGACCTTAGGTTAAAGAGTCACGTGTCTCAGCTACATATACTAGCAAATATTCGCGAACATTTACCGAATATCTATTTAACTAACCGAATCAAATTCGAATGCCTTCTACCTATTCATGAAGAATTTGAATACGTGTAAGAATGACAAGTGGCAATTGTTTTAGTCATAATTATTATTCTTCTTTTGAAAACAATATCCACCTTACCTACTGTTAAGCCCGTCATTTCAGCTTTTTTATATCATGCATCATCATCTCTATATCAATCCTATCAAAATTAAACAATTTTTTTGAAAACAATATCCATCTTACCTACTGTTAACCGTTTTTTCAGCTTTTTTATATCATGCATCATCCTCTCTATATCAATCCTATCAAAATTCGACAATTGTCCCATTGACATGCCATTTCACCCTCTCCCCCCTTCTCTTTTTCCTAAATTCACAACCAACTCTCTTTATACTTCTCCTGCATTACATAGGTAACAAACTAGTGTGCATGTGTGTGTATAAAAATGTGTATGTATATGTGTGTACATGTGGATATGCATGTGTATAATGTAGGAAACAATGAGTATGAGGTGGCAGCTCATTTTACTTAATAAGCTACCTAAAGATAAACATGTGGTGAGGCCTACTTTTCACATCAAATAGAAGGGTCTTACCACCTTTTACCTCTGCTAGCTCATTTAAGAAAATGAGTCGCGTGAGAGAATTTTTCACAATTCAATTTGACTTGTAGAAATATTTATATGAAAATTGTTCACATTCTTAACAAAAACCATGAATATTCTGGTAACTATCAATCATATAAGTTGGAAAATTTTACATTGCCCAATATATTGTATTATTTCAAGTTTTCAACTGTTACGGCCTTTCTGAATCTTTGTTATAGATGAAAACACATCAACTCAGAGTCTCAGATCATATATGTTTTAGTGCTTTCATATCCATGGCACATTTTATGAATCAAATCCACTTGCCTCTACCTGTAGTGTCATGTATCGTGTCCGTAAAAATGCATCATGTCCTACAAAAATGCTTCATGCTATGCAAGGACCTCCACTCTTCCTTCAGGTTGGCAGTGATTACATTCAAGCACCTCCAGTTACTGGGATCTACAGATCCCTTTCTCATCCATAACAATGGTTCCATAATAATGGTTTAGAAACACTAAGCTCTTCTGGATGTCGGACATAGTGCCTAAGTGGCGCATATTGTTAGCAGAAAGAGAGGAAGAATTTTTTTCTCAAAAATTCAAAATCCTATACTCACCATCTTATCTAAATGATAAACTTTGATCGGGCCGATCCAATGTGGTGAGTCCCGGTAATCGACTCATGTTGTGTCTAGGTGTTTCAAGAATTAAGTGGGCAGCCAAGGTATCGTTTAGGCCTATGAGGAAGCCCAAATCACTTTTTAGAACAATGGTTCACAAATGACCACCTTATCCTACAGTTATACAACTTTAAATCTTTTCTTATGGGTTTGTTCTCATCGTATTCACGCAATCTTATCATCCATTCAGTTTACCAATTACCACTATATTTCTGCATTCTTTTCTTTCATATTTGGATAAATTGAATCCTCAAGTCACAGGGCCACAAGAATACCATAACACCTCCCAACCTCACTAAAGTGAGCTCTAATTCAAGATATATCTTAATCTATTCGTCAATTTCGTTTACATGGGGATCTAAAATATGTATTCAATTAGGTTCATCGCTATCTTTATTTTGAATGTAACAGATCATTGAAATATGTTACTAAGAAAATCAATTGAGCTTGCTATTTCAAGACCCACAGCTCATTAATATCATGTTTTATAAAAGTGCTTAATTTTTCTCAGTTAGCTGACATCAACTACCCAAAAAAAAAAAGAACTGAGCTTTTCTTCACTTAATACTGAAATCAGGTTTTTAAAAAATCAAGAAAATGGAAGGTCGCTCACCGGGATCAGAAATGCCCACGTGGTCCTGGCCGTCCTCCGCCGGTGGGTTCCAGCCTATTGGGGACCACCGGCCGGCCGGCGCTCCACGCTCGCTAACGGATCTCCGGCCGGCGGCCGGTCGGCCCGAGGACCGTGACTCTCGACCCGCAGCTGCGTTGCCCCATCTTTCCCTTCCTCCTCCGATAACAAAATCACAGTGATTCTCCCACTAATTTCATGATTAAATTAATAACCGAAGGCGATCGCTGATGCTCGGACTCGTGGCCTGCTGCTCCTCGCAACACGCCGCCTTGGGTTTTAGCACAAGATCGTAGCACGTGACTTGCACCTGCGCTTGTTCGTAGGTTTGCAAACCGGGTCACGGATATCCGCTGATATACCTGTATCCGCATTCGCTAGAGAAGATATATGAACACGGTAACTATAGCATAAGGAAGCAGATACGTTCTCCCCCTAAAAAATGCAGATGCGAAATTATAATAAAATTCTAAACGGGTCTGTATTCAGATAGGACAAATTTTTGTAAAAGACCCATTTAAATATTTAGACTTCGATTTTATTTATAAGAATTGATCCGTATACAGTCATATGAGTATCATTGGTAGAAATTGGATCCATCTTAAAGCACACAGTTTACTAATTAGATGGGATTGTCAATACCCTCTAATTAATAAATCATAGTTCAAAATAGCCCTGGTTGGCAACCGCGGCTATTTAGATCTTAATTCAATAATAGTCGTGGTTGCTAGCTAACACCGTACCATTATGAACTAAATTATCTTCAATAATTAGGCAGGGGTTAGCAACCCTTGCTAATTGGGGAACATTGTTTTTTTTTAAATCGACTCAGTTTTTAGTCAAGGGTGTCGAGATATCTAAATCTGGATTGATTTTTTTTCTAGATAAATTTAAAAATAGTCGATTATAATGAATAAATATTGAAATGGGTCTATTTTGAAAATTTATCCATCCAGATATATTATCCATCACAGATTTTAAATTATTTCGTCGTTCCACATTAATGAATTTGAGCAATTTTGATGATCGATCTTAGATTTTGTTCGTAAGAAATGTCAAATATATCAATAGGCATTCGTTTAAGAAAATTGGTAAGTTTATTATTTATTTATTTTGTCTTATTACATATATATTTTTCAATCTTTTTTCTTCTCATTTCATCTATTTTGGATACGTGTATCTTTGCTTATTTATAGCTTTACTTGTAGATACGGGCACATGATATAATGGTAATAGTTACACATTGAATCCTCATCCGATCTAGGACAATTTTTAATTTTTGACTTTTTTTTAAATTTATTGAACATTTTGGCCTACTTTGTACTTGTTTATCATTTCTGACCCGATTTCCGCTACGTAGCAGAAAATTGGTCGAACATGATAAATAAGAGCAAATATCTTCACGCCTCGTTTGGTACGCGGGAATGAAGTCAAGTAAGAATGGAAAGAATATAGGAATGGAATGGAATAGATATGGAAATGGAATGCGCATTCTCATGCTCATGTCTCGGAGCGTTTAGAGAATGAAACAGGAATGACAATCTTATTCTTATTCCCATGTTTGGTATCATTTATTTACAAGTGAGAATCAAATTTAGTTTTCTAATAATGCCCTTACAAAAACACAAAATTTTAAAAACATAAAAATATTTTAAAAATGACTAAATAATTCATTTTTTTAGAAAAATAAGTTTTATAGAAATGATATTTTCTCTTATAGAAATAATTTTTCAGTTGATAGTTATATTTTGGTAAACCGCCTCAGCAACAATTTCAGACTTTTGGCTTACTAATTGAAGAATAATTTTCATAGAAATTATTTTTGATTATAAATAATTATAATTCAACATTTCTAACTTCTAATGCTACATGCTTGTTACTTGTACGAACAGCTAATGCTATTAGCATCACTGTCCACAAACGTATACAATAGACTGAATTTCATATGCATGCTATATGATTTATGACTGAATTCCATGTGCATGCATGAAGAGAGAGATCGCAAGAAAACACTAAATTTTGAAGGATTGGAAAAACATGTTAACTTTTAGTCTGTATATAAAATTTCTATGAAATTTCAAATGCACCTTTAACTTTCAAAAAAAATGATTAGGAATTGAAAAAATTGTTAACTTAGAAAGTTTGAATAAATAGAAAACATGTTAGCCTCTAATCAAAATATAAAGTTCCAATCTCATCAATTAAGCAAATTATTTCTTGTTGTGAGTATTTTGAAAGAATTACTAAAAAGATTAGACATATATGCTTTAATAACTTCAAATCATATATCCAAAGATAAAATATTTGTTAATCTAATTGCCAACAGATTACGCAACCAAGTTGCCAAAAGATAAAAAATTATTGTAAAGATTAGGTAAAGACTAGCCATACATACATATATTAAAAATAATAATGGTTACCTAACCGAGTCGCGTTGAGCGAAGATGAGATTTTTTCTATTGTAGACGTGATCGAACTAGGGCAAAGTCGAACAAAGAATAGTATTTTAATATTTTACATCTATTCATATATTTGTACGAGCAGTTAATGATAATATTTTTATATAATTTTTTTTTCATATGAGAATTTATATTTATTCGTATCTATTAAGGAGGGTATAATTGGAAATTATTTGATTATTTTATTCTCACTTAAGTGGGAATATCAATTCCTTGTTAAATGGTTGGGAATGACAATTTCCACATAAAGTGAGAATTGATAAGAAGTAGGAATAACAATTCTAGCGTCTAAAAATACATCGTGTTTGGTACGCATGAATAAAGAGTTGAAATTGCATTCAATTCCTACTCATTCCCACGTACCAAACAAGACGTCACGGAATTGAGAATCCCGTGTAGTTTAGTAGAAAATTAAATTATACGGGATTCTCAATCCTGCGTAGTTTAGAACTAGACGAAACTTCACAGGATTGTGAATCCCGTGAATTTTATAATGAATGAACTACAGGAGATTGACAATCCTATGTAGTTGACTACATGATTAGCTCATTGCCATATAAGTTATATGTTGTTGAAAGGGCATGGCTTTGAATCCCAGCAATGTGAATTATTTTTTTTTACCGATATAGAATTTCAAGCTCAAATCTAGTGTGATTACAATAGCTGGCCAAGTGGTTAACCACAAGAAAGATAAATTTCAATTATTCAGTGGTTTTGAGTTTGAATCTCATGATAGCCAATATAAACTTTTTTCCCCCTAAACATTAAAATATTACATGGCTGGGATTCAAACTCATGCCCTTTTAACAAAATATAATTTATATGACGATATGCTAATCATGTAGCCAACTACATAGGATTATCAATCTTATATAGTTTATTTATTATAAACTTCACAGGATTCACAATCCTGTGCAGTTAGCCTAGTTTTAAACTAGGCGAGATTGAGAAATCCCGTGTAATTTAATTTTCTACTAAACTACACAGGATTCTTAATCTCGTGTAGTTTTTTTTACTTATTTGTCAATTTCGACCTAATTTCTACCCGGCGGTTAAAACTAGGTCGAAAATAATAAATAAGTGCAACGTATTTGATAATTAAGTTCTAAAAATGGTCAAAAATGAAAATTTGCCCTCCGATCTATTTTGAAGCTCTACACCGCACAAGGGCTGGAGCACGTGACGGCACGTGCAAGCTATGACTTGTTGGGCACGAAGTAAATGGGCTTCAGCAATCGCGTACTAGATTCTCCTTGAATAGGAGGCCCAACAGAATCAGGTTCTTCCTCGAGATATAATAACAGAAGAAAAGAAAAATGAAAAGGAAAGAAAAATCACTGTGATCTTTTTCTTTCTTTCGCTCAATTTCAATGGGATTTCGATTCCCAAATCTCGCCAAAGCCCTCAAAACTTACCGTACTTTGAATTCAAATTTCACCCGTCGTCATCATCGATGCCGCCAATTCGTCCTCCTCTCGTCGATCGGCGATCGCCAGAGCCACTCGAGAATCGCCAGGCGATGGCACGTGGGCCACTCTCACCACGACCACGGTCACGTGACCGGCGGCGAAGGCGTGCGCCATCATCGCCGACGCCGCCCATTCCCTCTCCGACATTGTAAGCGCCTCATCGCGATTCCTTGAATTTTGAAATTAGTGCCTCAAATCATTGAAATTGCTATGAGGTCCCTATTTATTATAACTTGTTCCAAACTAATCCCTCCAGTCAAGAGGGGCATATCGACCATATAAGAGTTGTGGGAGCTAATAGCACTTTCAACGATTTGAGGGACTAATTTCAAAATATTAAAGATTTAAGGGACTAATAAAGAAAAAGCCCAGCAGTTTTTATTGTAGATGATTCAGAATAAAAAACTCTACAATATTAAAAAAAACCCCGGATACTTTAGGACACTTATAACTTGGCCGCCACTTCATTAGTATGTACAACACACATGTATATTGTATGTATTTTGGTCCTTGTGCAGTACTTCAGATGTATGAACCATTTCTCACCGTAAAATATGAACGAATGAAGTATGTTGTGATCTCTGTTGACAAAAGCTAATCATTTTGTAGACTATTAACATTATATTAGGTGCTTCCATGTTTGAATAATACCATGCTCATGCATATATTTATGACTCAAATATAAATGTCCTTGGAAGAAATATGCATATATAGCCACGATCCCTGTTTTTTAATATTGTAGAGTTTACAGTACGGCACCCATGTCCTTATTGGATATGACACATATTTCTGTCTACTAATCATAGCATGTGTGTATACATATTGTAAATAAATGCTTGTATGTGTGCATATGTGCGTGTGTGCACATGTGCGTGTCTTTCCCATGCCCACTAATATTTTAACTATTTGCATCCCATAGTTTTCTGTTTAAACTTGATTTGTCATAGGGAAGGGATGGACAGTGCTCTTACTACATGCTACCTTAACTTGAAAATTGTCATTTATGTATTGTCAAACTACTGCTTTGCAGGTCCTTAGTGGCGTGGCCTGGCTGTCATTTAGAGTTGGGAAGGCTCCAAAGGACAAAGAACACCCTTATGGTCACTCTTGATTCTGTACTTAGATTCTACTCAATTTGTTCCATAACAATAAACTAGTTGGCTTTTCTTTTAGTATTTTGTGACAGAACTAGTAATTCCGCAACACTATATGCACTATTGTTCAGTTAGTGGTCAATCTTGTTTAACCTATATGCACTGTTTGTTAGAACATAGATGAAGTTTCTGCTTATCACTGAGATATATAACCATTCATATAGTTGGTTCTGCTGAAAAATCTATCAACATCATGTAAAATATCAGGAGTGATAAGTACATTCCTTTTTTTCCTTCATTATAAAGGCTTTGTCTTTATAGTTAATCTGAAATGGGAATTAGCTGTTAGTTTGTTATAGATTATGGTGTACCAACTCCAGTATATAGGCAAAATTTTTAACTGAAATCTATTAAATATGTGCAAATTATGATTTGTAACAGAGAAACTTTTAGCTGGAATTTTGATAAGTGTCAGATGGGATCCAAATAAAAAAAGAGAGGATATGACTCCCATCATCATCATCATCAATGCATATTTGTTGCTTGTGTTAGTGCTAGTATCATTTCTCATCGGTATTGTTGAACTTGATTGCTGTGTTTCCTGTTGGTTTGGAATGATCCAAAAAATAAAGAGCTGATGAGAATTGCGAGTGGGTTTTGGGTTCGAAGTTTTTATGTACTAAAACCCAAATACAAGTATATAAATCACTTTGTGCTTGATACTTGACGTAGTATGCATCATCTTGTGAAACCGGTCCATATATTTTGTAGGAGGGTTTCTAGACACGACTTGGTAGAGAGTGGTAATGGACCTTCTATTGAGTTGTGATCATATCCAGTGTCTGAAGGACATACTAATGACATTGAAGATCTCAATAGATGCTAATACTGTTGTCAAGAAAAAGCTACCTGCTGTTTCTTATTCCACTGTTTAGAGGCACTTTTCACACATTTTGCTGTCCTTGGTTCCTACATTTGAAGCTGAAGGCCATTGGCTTCCTTATTGTTGCCTCTACTGTTTTAGTTTGATCGCAAGTTCAAGATCCACAATGACCCCAGTCTTGTGGTCTTGGGTTGAGCACATATCCGAGCTCTGAAAAACTTCCAAGTCTATTGGTTTTCAGGTTGAATGCCTCTGGAGTTTGTAATGGCAACCTTGACGGGTTGTTTTATGTTGCAGTGCTGACCCTCCCAAGGAAAAGATCAAGTTGTCTCATAATTGGGGAAGTCTCCCTTTTTTGGGTTTGTGGTGTAGTGTATTCACCTCTGTCTCTGTTTTCAGATTCTAGACCTTTCATTTTAAGGCTAAGTACGTCAAGTGTCTTGTGTTTCTTAAGAACCACTATCTAAAATATCTAATCTAAACTGGAATCAAATATCTTATTTGAAAATATTTCCTTCAATCCTGAATAAATAGGACTCTTCCCATAAGGAGAATTTTTTTACTCTCTCCAAGCTCTAAAGTTGTCCTGCATCGCACTTATGATCCTCTTGCATTATTTTTTCCAGGACATGGTAAGTTTGAGACACTAGGCACTCTTGGGATTTCTTGTATGCTTTTGACTACTGCAGGTGGCATTGCCTGGCATGCTGTCAATGTTCTACACTCTTGGGATTTCTTGTATGCTTTTGACTACTGCAGGTGGCATTGCCTGGCATGCTGTCAATGTTCTACAGGTATTTACTTACTTGTATGCTTTTGACTACTGCAGGTGGCATTGCCTGGCATGCTGTCAATGTTCTACAGGTATTTACTTATTTGTGTTTTGCCTATTTCCTTTCTCCAGATGCAGTTATCAATTTCTCTATTTTATAACCTTTGTTTTTATTTTTTTTAATTGTTAATGGAACTAATTATCTGGAGGTATTAATGAATTACAGTTCCCGTTGAAAATTCATTACTCATATAAGTTCTGCTTTTTTGGTTCAGGGAATTATAACGGCAGAACCAGAAATTATTAGCCACATACTAGAACATAGCTATAGTGATCACCATAGTCATGGTGGTGGCCATCATCACGGTATCGACTTAGAGCACCCTGTCCTAGCCTTGAGCATGACAACTGTCTCCATCGCTGTTAAGGAAGGGTATGGCAGACATGTTTTTTTTTCTGTTCTTTTATCTCTTTATTCCATGTTAAGAAGGAACAATTAGAAGAACTGCAACTAAGTTTAAAATCTATAATGTCTGACCCGAGCACATTATAAAATATATAATGTTTAGCCTAGAGAGTTCTGAGGGTTTGCTGTGTATAGAATTTGAATGTTCAGTCCATCGGTGTATGAGTTTCAATAGCCTGACCAATAAGTTATGTTTTTCTATGTTTTGTGTGAGCCCTCAGTCATTGTTTTTTCAACATGGGGTTCATTGCCAACCGAGAGGGTTCATGCAAGGTTGACTTCTAATTATTAATCTTTCCATCTAGTGTTCATTAGAATGATTAGTTTTATCTTTTCAGACATGGTTAGAAGTTAACATCACTCTTTATTTCACAGTGGGCATTACACGTTTTCATTAAAGATGCAGGTTGTGGATACTGAATGAATTAGTCTAGTCCTGTAGAATTGCAAAAGCTATAGCTGTTACGCTTAACCGGAAAAAAAACACTGTTTGTTATGGTTATAGGCTTTTTTGGATCACAAGAAAGGCCGGTGAAAAGGAAGGAAGTGAGCTGATGACAGCTAATGCATGGCATCACCGTTCAGATGCTGTGTCATCGGTAGTTGCTCTTATTGGGGTTGGTGAGAACCAATACCTTATGTCCATTATTTTTCTCTGACCAAGTTTCGATCAAACTTGACGTAATTTGTGCTAACAATTTAATTCCACATTTTATCTGGTTTCATCCATTATTGGTTCACTGAATATAAAGGCACAGCTAGTCACTTGATGAAAATTAAGGCACAATATGGCAATATTTTATTTTTGCAGCTCACCTCCTCTGCCCTTCCACAAGCTTGATGAGTGTTTCCAATCTTATGCTACAACAAATCTACAACTCAATTAGGAACACACTTGTTATTATATGTTCTTAACCATTAAAAAAGAATTGATTTTGGCAAAGAAGTTTTAAGTTTGTTTTAACTAGACATATGATTTACAGGCCCATACCTGTAATTTGATCTTTTTGCAGACATGTGAATCATTATGGGAATCGAGTAATGTGCATTGGTTGCTCGTCATTTTCGATAACTTAATTTATGGATGTAGATAGTAACTACATTTGGGGTGTAATTTGATTGCAGGAGGTACCATGCTTGGAATGCCATTTTTAGATCCTGTTGCTGGAATTCTTGTATCAGGCATGATTCTGAAAGCTGGAATTGAAACTGGTTACCGGAGGTACCGACCTTTTCCTCGACTAGCATTCTAATTGTCAAATATAGTTAATTGGAAGAATTGCTTTTTGAATGATTTCTTTGTGTAACAATGGACATAACACATTTGCACTTCGTTTTGCTGAAAGATGTGTATTTGTTGCAGCTAAACATATTGGAATTTCTAAAACTTCCTCTTTTTAACTGACACTTGGTCTTGCAAATCCTAATTGAAGAAAACTGCATGCTCACGTTGTCTAACTCTTCTATTTCACATTCATTTTATGACACAATTGGTGGCTGGCAAATGAACATTAACTAGCATACATGCAGTTTTCGTTTGATTAATTAGGTTCAAGTTATTTTGCTGCTTTATATAGTTTTGTCCCTAATCATCTAATATGATTTCTCACTTCAATATAATGTACAGTGTCATGGAACTAGTTGATGCTGGTGTCCCCTTACCTACCTTAGCACCAATCAAACAGACTATAACTCAAGTTGAAGGCGTGAAGGTATATCTTAACTCCTATCAAGAACTTGGTTGCCCATTGTCTCTTAAAATCATACCTCTATTACATGCATTACTAGTTTTTGTTTGTGAATTTACCTTTTTGATAATATGATATTGCCTGTAATTCCTTTTTGCTTAAGCAAATTATTGTCGAATCAATGACTGGTTAGTTTCTTTGAGACTTAATTATATGTGTTTCTATAATGATGGTGTATTGCAATACTGCTAATGACTGGTTAGTGGTTGCCTATGGTTATTAGCAATCCCAGAGCTCATCATACATCACACATTTGTTACTACTGTACATCTGGAAAGGTAATAAATATCTGCCCAAAATTCACAAAGGACAATGATTCCTCCCTCCCTCCCTCCGCGCATAAAATCTACTATAAAATTAAAATGGTTTAAAAAATGAAGTAATATATTAAATGACAAGGAATCAACTAATAGTTAACTGAATAAAAGGAGAAAACTTTCAGCACTAATTAGTTTTCTGGCTTAATAAAAAAACAAAATCTTCATATTTCAAAGTAAAGAATTAGCATAAATGTAGAGTATCATTGACCAGAACCAGATGGTTTGAAGATATTTTTCATAATAATCCTTCTTTGAGAGGTAAATTACAAATGAATCAGTGACTCCATATACAGATAAAATATTTATTTTCTTTTAAACTAACTAGAAATATGCTTTGGTCTCCCTCTCTTTGTAACTTCATATTCAGATAAACATATTTTACCCAAGAAAGGAGTGAAATGCCTATGCCCTCCGTGTGTTGTGAATGATATGCACTCTGTTACTGGCCTCCACCTGCCTTTTGGCATTACTGCTGGATCTTCTGGTCTTTCTCTCGAACCCCGCCTTGCAAGCTGTGTCCTGCCTCCAACCAATATCACCATCACTATTTTAGAAGTCTAATCATTCATGTTGGCATATGAATTTTCTGGCTCCATTCCCATAGATAAAAAAATTTCTACTATTCAATTGAAACTAAAAGCTGGCTTGGTAAAGAAGCAATGCATTTTTTTCCTGATAGTATACATTTGACATGGTGACGGCGTACAAGCGAGCAATTACACTAAATACAAGACATCTTTCTGTCTTGTATTAATTCACTGATATCTGGTTTGGTAATGTATTAGCACACTAAGCACAGAACTGGAGGATTTTGTTGATGCCAGAAATAAAGGGTATCTAGGTCAGTAAAAATGCTATCTTGTATAACCTTGGGAAGTAAATATAGTGTAGATTGCAAGAGGATGAGGTTGATTTTATTTAGACTTTTGGCATTTTTACATTGCAAGTGGAATCTATATTAGTTTAGGTATAGTTTTTTGCTCTTGCTGGTATATTTACTCTGTAGTTAGTCTTTGGTTACATCACATTTAAGAGATGGATCAGTAGGGATTTGAGGTGATTTATCTTTATCTCTATGTGCCCCGATGGTGAATCCTGTGGTTTAAGAGCATATAATGTGCATATCATCTTATTGCCAATTGCCAAGTCATGAAGAATATCTGTTCTCTTTTTTTTCTTTCTACTTTTTACATCTTTACCACTACTAGGAACCTAAATGTCCATATGAATTTGATTATTATTTGTTTATTTACAGGTTTATTTGTAAATACAGTTTATTTTGGGGTTAAAACTGTTATGAAATGTTGATGCAGGGATGCCACCGCTTGAGAGGAAGAAAAGCAGGATCCTTCTTGTATCTTGATGTACACATTGAGGTGTTGACATCTTATGATATTTTTTGTTTGCTTGGTTATTGAATTTCGGCTAAATTGCACAAAATACCATCAAATTTCCCGTATTGGCAATTAAATACCACAAGACATTTTGGTTAAAAAACACCATAAAGTTTCCAAAATTTGCACCTTACTATCATCAATCATGCAAACGTGGAAAATTTTCACCCAAATGTTTTCTCCGAGACACTTACATACTAATTTTAGAGCTTTTTAACTATAAATATTTGTTAAAATTTTCATTAGAAATATCCCTACTCTATTTTAAATAGAATTAAGATAAATTTGAAAAAGAAATTTGATTGATTTAATAGCAAATTTAACAAATATTATTGGTTATAACCTCTAAAATTAGCATGCGAGTATCGTATAAAAACATTCGGGTGAAAATTTTCACGTTTGCATGATTGATGGTAGTAATGTGCAAATTTTAGAAACTTTATGGGATTTTATTTTACCAAAATGCAACTTGTGGTATTTAATTGTCCAAACTGGAAACGTGATGGTTTTTTTTGTGCAATTTAGGCTAAATTTCCCTGCTTTTTGTCTCAGAATATTCTACCATCATTAATTCTTGCTGCTGCATTACTATTGCTATCAACAACATGACCACCATTGTTGCCTTTTCTCATTAAAATGGAGATTGCGTGTGGGTCACAATTCAAAGTACCACAAACTGAATGGACATACCTCTGCTGGTAACTGCAGCTACTCCTATTAGAATGTTGTCTTTCAAACATCTGTAGGATACATAACTTTATTAACATAAATTCACTGACTATTGGCCTGACATCAACTCTAAATGAGTCAACACTGAATTTTTGATCATAAATCACAACGTGTATTCATGAATGGAGTGGTATTCATGAAGAAAAATCTAATGGTTGTAAGATCAATGGCGTAGGATAGTAATTCAGGGACAAGACTGGAGAAAAATCGATGTCCATGAGATTAATGGCAAGGCATAGAAATCCTTGTATATCAAGGGAGAAAAACTTAGTGGCAACGAGATCGAATGGTGAGGAATAGGAATCGTTATACATCAAAGGAGAAACTGTTAGGGGTCATGGCGAGGCCATGAAGAAGGGCTCGTTGTGAAGAAAATATGCATGACTGATGTTGATTCTGTGAAAAGGGAACTTCGTAATAAGAAAAGACACCGGTCAGAGCCGAAATTCTGGACATGATGACAATGGATTTTGAAGAGAAGAACTCGATGGAAGAGGTGAGAGAGCAAGATGGTGTTTCCTGGGATGTCAAAGGCGAGGCGCCAGATCTGATTGATGATGAGCGAAGATGAAAACAGAAGCGTGAAGATGTCGAAGCCGCCAAAGGGCAGTGCGGAGATAAACCGAACCCTCTTGGCTGCCCCGAGACCCAGGACGAAAGAGATGTTCCCTAGGGCTGAAGACCTTGCTTTGATACCATGTTAAGTTAGAAGAGAAAATACTTCTATTTATATATGATAGGAGATTAATGGAAAGTCTCAATACTAACTAGGAAATAAAGAGAGGTATATGCCCTACCAAATGTAGATAGCCACATTACCAATTATATGAGATATGAAATAATGACATTATACCCTACTAAATTTAATAGATTTCCTACTACATTCAACACCTACATTTTCACCATGCAGATTCCCTGAAAGGAGAGAGATAAGAGCATCTCCAACAGCTTCCTCATTTCTCACTTTTGGAGAATTTAGTTAGGTTTTTGGCCCAACAGATTCCCCATCTCATTCCCCAAAATAAGGATGAAGGAGAAAAAATGGGGAAGCTTCCCCAAATCTGCAGCATTCTCCAAATTTTTGGAGGAAAAAATTGATTCTTCAAAATGGGGAAGCTGTTGGAGTTGGTGTAAAAATTAGTTGGAGAATATGACTTTTGCTTCCCCATTTTGGAGAAAATTTTGAAGAAGCTGTTGGAGATGCTCTAATAGTCAGATGTTTGTTGAAAACATTTGTTAAAGGGAACCATACTAATTTTTGACAGAAATGTAGCCAAGTAAAATGGTATTCCGGAGCTTCAAAGCAGTTATATATTAGTTATTAATAGGCGACTATATAAGAACTGAAGATAAGTAGATGATTTTTGTGCACATCTTCCTATGGCTGCAAAATTTAATATTTGAGCTTTAAAAATCACCAAGAAAATAGGAAGGTTTTTTTTTCATTACTTTCCAAAAGTAGAAATATTCTAATATGTATAACTAGTGTGCTGGTTTTTGCTTTCTTGATCCCAAAGCTTCTCCTGTAAAGTAATGCTTGTGGATTTTCATGTTTAATAGTTCATTTTGGCTGATATGAGTAATATACTTTCTCTTCTCACTTACAACCAAGTGCATGCTACGTTGAAAGAAGAAAATGTGTTGTGTGAAAAAAGAGCAAGGATGACAAAATACACAACAATTTCTCCCCCTTATCTGGAGAGACTGATTTTTACAATGCTATTGCAGGTAGATCCTTTTCTGAGTGTTAGCGCTGCTCATGACATCGGTGAGAATGTTCGTCGCCAAGTACAAAAGTCGCACAAACAAGTTGCAGAGGTTTTTATACACATTGGTAGGTCATAGTGTCTTTTACCCTTGTTAGACATTTTAGTGGCAGTATGATAATGAAATGAAGATGATACGTAGAATTGTTCCATTACCCAGCATTTTGCGGCATTCATTTTTAGAGAGACCACCATAAATCATGCAAACTAATAATGAACCACATGAAGTAATATTATATCAAATAATTCAACATGAATCCCTATTCTTTTCGTTTTCTTTTTTTGTTAGAGTTAAGGAAATGTTCGACAAGGAAATATTCGACTCTTTGCTATGTTTTTCCTTCCCTTTTGTTTTTCTTCTACTTGAAGTTGCTCGTAACTAAATGTTTTTCCATATAGATCCTTCATTTTTGTGTAGCTCTTCTATAGTGGACCAAAGACAGACTTTAAAGGGCGTTGAAAGCCAAAACTCGGATAAGTTCTGCAAGGAACGAGATGCTGAAGCCATTGTCTCGGGTGTTATTTCATCACTGTTTGCCGAGGTAGTTAATTTCTGTTTACCTGTTTTGTAAAGAGTTTTTTCTTTTATTCAATTGTCAATTCATAAGAAGCATGGTCAAAATAGAAAGTTTCCAGTATTTGGCTAACACAAATCATTTTTGCAATTTACTTAAAAAAACCATCATGATACATAATGAGAGTTTCAGGTAGCCATATAACTTAAAATTTACCCAATTCATAGACATGGACTGTATTTTGTAGCTATATGGAGAACTATATCCTGCATCGATACACATATTGGCAAAATTTAAAAACTCGACGACTTGTTTTGTGCTCATAAGATAATTGTATAGCTTTTATGTGCACCTTAAATTCATAATTTTGACCGGAACATATTTCAGAAAATGACAGTTAAGCATATAACACGGCATTTGCTGCAAGGAAAGATCTTACTCGAGGTTCAAGTGTCAATGCCATTGGAAATGTCAATTAGGTAACGTATCCATCCTCATCCGTTGGTTTCACTTTATTGTGATTTATTGGATGAAAGTTCTGTGATGTATTTTCATATGTGATTCTTCATTAAAAGGGACGCCATGGATGTAACAAAAGAAGCAGAGAAGGAGATACTGAATGCTGCTCCGTGCATAAGCCAAGTGAGCATTCAGCTGAGTTTAGGGAATCCAGTGCCACAGTTTTACTCATCTACAATAGGTGGCAACAAAGAAAACCAGGGCTCCCAAAGTTAAATACTATTGAAGACAAAAACGATCAAAATAAGTTCTTGACGAGAAACTGAGAGAGTATTGCATGGACCCTGGTCTGTAGCATGACATTAAATGTGTACCCAATTGATATAAACTCTTGGTTTAGTGCACAAATCGCGAAGTTGTATGATCTAAAGGTTGATATCATTTGGATGCACATTTAATGTCATGGACCAGATGTACTGGATACTTTCTCATTTTTGACCTTGTGTAAGTTGAGAAATTCTAGGCATCGGCTGAGCTATTCCTTGTAGATGGCGGAGCCAGTGAAATTCTTCTGTCTTGTAGTGCTATGACATGATCTTTGATCTTAACATTGAGCAGAGATATGCTTGTGGTGTAACTGACAAGTTACATGATGATACCAAAAATGTTTGAACTAGGTTGTATTAAATATTAATATAAATTGTTTTGGCTCAGTGTATAACCTTCTGTTATGTCTTCATTGGCACGTAGGAAGTCAAGTGAGAATGTAATGAAATAGCGAATAAAATGCTCCTTCGCAGAAATAGCGAATGAAATGCTCCTTCGCATTCTCATGGTTAATTAGACAATGAAGGGGGAATGACAATTTTTTTACTGTTAGTATGGGTGATTAATAAGCAATAAGACATATTAAGAATCTATTTCAACCTTTCGATTCTCCCTTGTAAAGAAATGGACGTTCTAGCTTCCAAAAATATGCTGCGTTTGGTACGCGTGAATAAAAAGTGAGAATAGATATTCACTTCCCACTTATTCCCGTATGCTAAACGAGACTTTAGTGTTTTCTCATTTGCCCTTCTTATATGATGTATTTTGTCAAATGTTATGGAAAGTGGACCCTGATGGACATATGATGAGTTGCTGTGGCTTCTCTTTTGGTGGGTGCGTGAGTTTCAAATTCATCATATCGTAGGCTTCACTAAAGAAATACGAAACCTTGTTTCTCATTGAACAGATAACTAGCATGTAGGCTTACATATACTTCTTCCACATTAACATATTACAATTACGTGCCTATAAACAGCAAGATATCACGAGTTTAAAAGTTTATACTTGCATCTTTTCTAGCACATAATCTTTATATAATATTGGCAAACTCTAAAGTCTTCTTCCCTTGAAGTCTGTTTGTAAAATAATGCTCGTTATGATCTCCACGTATGTACCAGCGGTAGGTACACCGAACTCTCGTGTTCGTCGACGAGTTCCAGCGTCGGCCGAAGCTCAACAGCGTAGCTCGGAGCATAAAACGTGACCGCTGATAACTTATCCTTCTTTCTATCAGTCACAACACCGTGTTCAACACTCTTATACCGTGTTGGGGATTCGAAACAATCAATCGAACCATTGCCCTTCCGGACCTTGTGTTGAAAGTAGAAAAATAGGAATAATACCACAAATAAAGATCTAACCTTGCAAAAATAGTAAAGGAGACGAACACACAGATTTAACGAGGTTCGGCAACGTGACTACGTCCTCGGGAGTCACACCACACAATCTCTTTATTAATTGAAGAAGAATTACAAGCTCTCAAACTAGGATTTAATCTCCCTGAGATTCTCTCTCTTCTTGCAGTCAAAAAGCTCTCTTTTTTCGTGTTGTTGTAACCCTAAAAACGTTTAAGGTATATATAGACTCCTGAGGAAAACAGAATCTAAAACAGTTTAGGAAACTGCTTGACTGCGTCGCGGTCGACCGCGGCGGTCGACCGTGCCAAACGACAGAAACCCCCAGATTTCCAGAGAGTTGAGCGGTCGACCGCCGCGGTCGCCCGAACCAAAAACCCGATACCAAAATCCTATAGGGTTGGCGCGGTCGATCGCCTTCAGCTTCAGCTCCTCCCAACTCTTGTGCACGTTCGCGGTCGACCGTGGATCTGTCTGCTTGTTTTCTCGTCGTTTTGATTCCAGCTCTTGTCTCGACTTTGGGTATACACCTTAGAGGAACAAACCGTCCATTACTTCAAGCGTATCACCGACATTAACGACCAGAGCATTTTTATGGGCCTTATCGGTACCCAAAGCCCATCTTTGAGAATTTGGAGGCCCCTGGAATTTGTTTTTTTGTTGTCATGTTCTCGAGGCGCTTCCAGCGGAATGTGGGCTTCGGCCCAGTACGGGGTCCGGCCTTGGAGCATGGCGGGTGGTAGCTCATTCCTATTGCTTGACTGGGCTCGCCGAAGACTTCGTCAAAGGTAGTGGGCTGAAGCCCAAGGCTTTGGGCTGTGAGCGGAAGTAGTTTTTTGGGAGGGCGTTCTCATGGTATAGGAGCAAGTCTCCAGCGCTTCACTTCAACAAGTTTAAACAAGTTGAGTGATGAGATTTACGAGGAACTTTTTAAGAGTTAATTTCAGATATACCCTTTGTCTTGCAGAAGTTTAGTCACTTCTGAATACTCAGGCAAAGCTAGCTCTTTGTTATCTACGTATCACGAGGGTGTATGTTCAACACATTGAGTAGTATGTTCGAGCTTATTACCCTGTAGTTTCATTTTAACAAAGAGACCCCTTAAGTAAAATATTTGTACTATTTTACCCTCAGTTGTTCATCCCCATGCTTTTCCCCTGAG